CGCTCTGTCGAGGTTAGCGCAGCCAAGAAAAACTACTGTCTCAGTATCCCTTGCTTCCACAGCTTCGATTCTCTTATCCATAGTGGCGGCCTTCGAAAAACATTTCACAGCATTGAGAATGAGGACGTGAGTACTGCGTGGCAAGAACGATTCGTACGTCCTTTCCAGGGTCCTGTAAAAGACGTTCGGGGAAGTGAAGCGCATATTTTGGGAAGGGGGAGAGGAAATTAATGTAAAACCAACGAAATAACTTCAAACTGTATTTGTAATCACGAGTCATAAACGCAATGTCACACGGAAAGCACACAGGGAATAGACGACTAGTGAATCGAATTTACAATAAAAATCGGTTATTCCCGCCCAAGCATGTGCATATATCGCATTTTCTTCATAATTCTGCATCTAAAAATACTCTTCCGAGGTCTTTTTGGGGTTTTATGAAAAATACGTGCAAAAATTAGTGTCGATCAACGGAGTGAGTGACGCCACTTCATGTCAGTCACTGCGCTCCATATCCCTCTTACTCGATTAGACTCGGAAAGGATGCTGGTGTATGCGAGAGGAAGAGGGGATAAGACCGTCTCAGTTCAGAGCCAGTGCTTGGTTTCCTTATTATAAATAATTATACGCAATTTCAAACTAAGTGTCGTGACTTGGAAGAGCGATAGCTACCGGGATAACACGACTGTATTCAGTGCTGAGGGTCAAGCTGTAATGGCTCTTTGGAAACGTGGTCTTTGGGAAAGTCTCGCTCCTGCGGAATCCAAGATCCGCCGAATGAAGCCTCATACAAGTGGATTTATGGAAGAGTTTGTGCGTGGCACGCGTAGAGGAGTTGTTTTATCACTACGTCCAAGTCTATCCTTGGTCACCTTCATTCCACGTTGCCTTTAGAGGGCGTTGAATGAAGAGACCATGAGTTAGATGTTTCTTTAGTCCACAAGTCATGACTACGCTCTTTCCGTAATGGCCACTGCCGTTTGCAATGGGCGAACTACAAATAGGTGCCCAGAAGATGACAGCCACTTTAGTCAAATGAAAGCAGCATCAAGCGCGTAATTGTCTTCTGCACTGCAAGAAATCGGGTGGTCGCTCCTACTACTGGGCGTTACCAGGAAAGGGCAGCCAGCGAAATATTTAAAATTATGTGAGTGCTAGGCAGTTCGACTATGGATAAAGGCCAGTGAGACGAAATGAAGACCCTATGCAAAGTCAGCCAACACACCCAGTCCATCTCTAAGCACTTTAACCCTGTTTTTTCATCCGCTCGTAATCGGGGGAGGGGGAGGAAAGAAAGCAAAGAAAATCGGTTTGGTTCAAGTAAGCTACCCTTCCGCTCCCGCAGATATAACGATGACCGTCGTCGTGTTCGACAGATTAATAATCGGTTCCTTGCTGAGGTCAAGTTGGTCTCTTTGTAGCTGAATGCGTAAGAAAGCTGTAGTACCAAAATCGCGCCTTGTATATCTTTTTTATGAACCTATAGGTGAGACAATAAAGTACTGTTAACTAGGAAAGCAGGCAGGATACACCTGTCATAACCTCTTCCCCCTGAAATTGTTCGGGTTTGTTTTGTCCAATTAGGATAAAGTATACGCTCGTTGATGAACTTTGACCGATCGCTTACGGAACTCATTCGTTCTGCTTTGTCTTGGGGCTCATTCTCGAACCCCGCCGGTTATTAGTCTAGGCAGATAGCATTGTCGGCGAAAACAAGGGAGATTGGAATGGCCATTTCTGGCTCATTGGCTGTCATCAGCCAGTCATACCCGACCTCAAGTGGTGCTCTACCCGAGACTCGAACCCAAATTTTTTTGATCAGAAGTCTAATGAGCTAACCATTGAACCACGGGCTTGTCGTCTTGCCCTTTTAGATCGGGAACATCGACACTCGTTGACAAACGTTCACCGACTGTTAACAGAATTCACTCGTCTCCCTCTGCCAGCCTCGCTATCAGCCGCACATAGGCTAGTAGTTTAGGCAGAAAGCATTGGTTATGACTGGTCGATGACGGCTATTGAGCCAAAAAGGACCATTCCAGTCTTCCTTGTCTTTCCCGGCAATGATATCTGCATAAAACATACGGCCATGTTTCGTACTTGATTTGCAGGTAGAATTAGGATTCGTGTCAGGTTTTAGCTTTAGGATTAGAACTAGACACCAGTTGCAGTATTAGGATTAGGGTTAGCCTATGATGAAAGTTTGCGATTACGATTACAATTCACATGCAAAACGAGTGACTTGGACGGACAGCTACAAGAGGTGATCGTACGCAAATTTGTCCGAAAGAAAAACAAAAAAATACTACATTGGAAACTAACCTTACATCCTGCACGTGCTCTGCTAAGTAGTAATCAGAGAGGTGGTCCTTAATGTGAGTTAAGATTGCCTCGCAATCCATCCAAAACTTCACGAGGTGGATGCCCTTTGTTGGGAGCAGAAAACGCAAGAAATCCTGCATACCTTCCCGCTAAAATTCCAAAGCAAGCATACAGTAATATGTTGGTCAAGCTCAAAGGTTGAGATGAAGATGAGGCCAGCGACAAGCCAGCCTTTCACTCGAAGGCGGACAGTACAAGATTATTGGAAGACGCTTACCCAATAGCCGACAATCTACTATGTATGAATTACCATAGCCATATGTTTCACGCCCGTCAGTACTAAAACGGCACTCAAGTATACTTTTTATTCTAGATCACATTCAAATATTTTGGCAAGTGTCTTATGAGATTTTTTCCTTCGGAAGCAGGCAATGAGTCACTTACTTCTATTCTCATAAACTACGAGTATGATAAAACAGACCTCTCCTGCTGTTTCTTGATTAAATTCCAAATACACTTCAAAACAAGTTTTGAAGGTGAATTTAAAAGATATGTGTGACAGTTGTGTTTACAACCTCCGGCGTTGCCCAAACACGTAAACGAAAACTTTCGATGTAAATAAACCCTGTTTTTACGCCTTACAGGTTACATTACTGCGGATTCTCATAGACAGGTGACACATCCTTATCGCTCCTGCAAGCGAAATAACATTTGCAAATATTCCCATGCTTAAATTGAGAAGTCAAGTTGGCAAACTTCTCTTGGAAACTCGAAAGAAACTTCTCATTCGACCTTTCTCTAAGTAGGGTGTATGTAATGAATCGCCCCCAGAATACATCTTGCCGTCTTCCGGTTACCTTTAACTCAATAAATTACCATTAAGTCAGATGCGGATTATATGCTGTGATTCTCTGTCGATCGAAGAACAAGCCCAGATTAAAACAACTTTTCTTCTTGCCATCTACAGTACGTGGAAAATCAAAGTCTTCGTCTGAAACACTAAAAATACAAGGTGAACTTCGTCATAGGTTAAGTAACAAAGGAAAGCTGAAGAATTTTCTTATTTTCCCCAAGCTTATTTTGCCATATCTCGATATTGACCTAGTTTTCCAAATTTTAGAACAAGGGGAACGAATGGGTGATGTTGAGTTTCAGACTGATCGTTAAAGCGCAATTCTTGCAGCGAAATCTGCAGTTACCAACCATCCTCCCAAAAGAGTGTTGAGTGTGATGACCTATATGAGGATTTATACACTGAAACGTTTCATTCATAATAAATTAATTCATCTGTAAGAGGTTCTAGGATGTTATTATTCAAAAAGAACCATGATGTAAAGGTATTTATTACCCTATAAAAATTTCAAATCAAAATCACTTGCCTCTTCGGAAAACTTTAGGTGAAAAAACGAGTATCTATGTCCGTTAAAAAGGAGACCTAAGATCACTGCATGATGTAGATGGATCGTTGTCCAACTTATCGAATTTTGGTGAACGAATAGGGAAGCGGATATGCGATTCCGAGGTTTCTGTTAGAAAGAGAATGAACGCGCGGTCACTGGGATAATAGGTATATTAGCCTGAGTTTTCGGACTCGTACACATACACACGTATGTTTTGTGTATGAGTTTGCTTAAGATTGACTAAAAGGGGGGCAGTGCGGCGTCTTATGATATGAAATCTTATACTGACATTTGAAAGAACGTTTTCACGGCTAAAATATTAATCCTCATTTACATCCTTGTTACACATATTCTGGCCGCTATGAAAACTGGCTCGCTGGGCCGTGAAATCGAGACATGCATTAAAATACATTTTTTCCTCTAAACCCTTCCGAGATAAGAAGCAGGATAAGATAACCGGAAATGTTCCCTTCTGTGGATAACCAGTCAGCTTTATATCATGGCTTCAAAAATAAACGATAGACTTGATTTTCATCTCCAGAGACGCGTACATTAGTATGTTATGAAAGTAGTCATTTCGTCCAACTTTAAGCACACGTCCCAACGACTATCTTATCGCCGAAAATGGCGTAAGCCTTAGTTTACAAATGTCGTAGGCTTGAGGAAATATAACAAATTGCCGCAAAAATATCCGCTGAAGTCAATATTCCTAGGAAATATCGTATGAGTTGAGCTACTTAATGCATTACGTGCAAATAAGCGCTCGTTCGGCAAACATACCAAATAAATAATAATTTATGTGAATGTATACCAGAACTTGTGATGGGTTTACGGTGGTAGGATCCTTGTCTGGTGAAAGAATACCTTCGAATATACAACATTAGCTCGGCAAGTGAAAGCATGATTAGGCTGTTCTACTGAAGAAGATACTGTTGAGATCCAAATATGGCCTGCAAGTCTGAAATGGATCTTGATCCTCAAGTCCTGAGCACAGTTATGTCCTGTTGTCCATTTGTTAAAGAAATATTTCAACAAGAAAAAAGATCAGTTGAACTGCAGTGAAAGTCAATTCGAATAACTTCTGCACGACTCATTCCGATTAAGTATGAGTTAATGTATTTGTTTTCAGCCCTGTCCAAGTGTTGCATTTTTTTCCAAAGTTAGAGCACGGCAATTGTGGTAAAAGCGTCTACATCACTTTTATAACGACTTTAGCAGACGCAAAATGTGAGCGACTAAAAGGAATTTGGAACTTACATCGGCCAACAAAAATTCTTTGATCTGTTGGATACCCATCTTCTGGCGTTCCCCTAGGTGAGAGAGTTCGTCTATTAGTTCTTCGCCACAAGTCTCTTCAACTTCATTCGTGGTCTTTGTCCCAGTAAGGGGGTTTTGCCATTCGATGTCCGGACGCAAGTCCTCATTGGTGTGACCGGATAAACTAGACCAGCGTCGACTGCTGCGCCTAGTTTCAGTACCGTCGTAAGTGCTACTTTCTTTCTCATCTGGTTCCCCACCATCCTCATAACCCTCCCAGCTTCTGTTGTTAACTAGGATATTCTCCGAGCTCGGCTCAGTCAGCGTCGATGCTTGCAGGTTTGGGAGGAGGGCCGAGATGGTTGCATTAATGTAGTAGTCGCCGTTTTCGTTTGAAGTAGTGCTGCACCTAAAAAGACATGAATAGGAAGTTAGTGGGATGAGATTGCCGGCCTTACATTTCCTTTAATGTCCCCGTTATGGAAACCAAGTGAATTTGAGCAGTCATACTGAGGAAGACAGCTTTTATTAGAAGGTCTATCTACTCAACTTGCCTTCATTAAGGGAGCCCTGGGAATACAAATCTAGTCGGTTGGACGTGAGCCTGAAACAGACTCAAATGCTCTGAACAAAAACAATTTCCGTAAATTGTATTTAAGTTATTAACTCGAATTTTGCTAGTGTGACCTGGTTGCTGGACAGATGTGGGCAATTGAACCGGATCCATTAACTTCCACGAGAGCTGAAAGATTTGAGCGAGTGTGCCTGAACGGACTTGCGTGAGGAACGGCTAGAGTATTAAAAACATTCGAGTCAAGTCGGCTGCATTTTTCGTAAGTGGAACTAAGAAGCAAAAGTTGGTAGATCCAACAGGCTGAAACAAGATGATTAACGATCATACGGATTGCTGTGAGTCTGATTATTTGGGTAATCTATTCGACTTTTGTGCCCCCCTCGTTTAGACATTTATGAGGAATCTGTGAACAGTTCAACGAAGTGATTTTTTTAAAAGACAGCATGGTAAATATTCTCACCTGTAGCGTATCTTATTGTTTACTAAACTATCAACTACAAGTGCGGGCGAACTCCAACATGGGTATAGGACGCGTACATATCCAAATATAACTAGATATGTATTAAATCGACTAAACGTCCAAAACCGAATGTTCCGAATTATATCCCCGTCTTAACTTTTCAGATTATTTTTGCACAGCCCGACAATTAAGTTGATATCTTCCAGCGCCGCCAGTTATATGGTTAAAATCAAATTTTGCAGAATTGTACTTTTTGGTAAGAACTGAGGAAGTGCATAAAAACTCGGAAACAGCGCGAAAATTAAATTTTCCGTGGAAAATAAAAACAGCAAGTGCATATTGTTTCATTTTTTGAAATAAAACTGTCACTTAATGTCGTAGTGAAACGGCTAAACAAAAGCGGTCTTGCGAAGGGTCGTCTCCTAAGAGGAAATCATGAGGATACTAACATGGGCGTTTCTTGAGGACGGATTCCTTGACTTGCTTCTTCCGTGGTTGAATCTTTAAAGAAAGATAAAATTCACCGAGTTTAAGTAAACATTAACGCAAAATGCTGACCTAATACATAAGTCACAAATCAGAGAAGCCACACAAAAGCGAGAAAAAATAATGGTTATGTCATAAGGGAACTAATTCATTTAACGCTTGCTGACTGAATGCGACAGGAAACGATACTGATACTGATACTGAAAGGTTCTTAAGAAAAATAAACTAAAAAAGATCCAGCTACCACAAATACAATCATCTACTTTCTGTATAGCAGAGGCATAAGGTTCAGCATTGATAACTGAGTAAATTTTAGTACAGTAATCGACCTCACCAACAATTAAATGAAATAATCGGACCTGATCAGATTTGTGACAGTTCTGGAGCTAAAACACAAAAAGCTATCTCGACTGTCGTTATATTTACATGGGTAAATGTCCATTTTAGTCCTAATATGAAGGTCCGTTTAACATCAAAGTGTCTTATTGATATATCTGAACGCTAAAGGCAGGACCGTTTATGACAATATTAATGTACAGTTATTTCGCATAGTAAGTCAGTATAAAAAGTTTGACATTTAGACTACTTTGAGGCAAAGTGCAACACGTTCAGGGCAATCTGTTTGCTAAATTTAAATGAGAATGCATCAAACGACTCTGAAACCTAGGTGTCTCCTCTTACCACGAAAAAGCTTCTTAAAAAGTATATTTATCAAAAAACATATATGGAATAATAGTTGTATTGTTCTGCTAGCAAGAAACCCAAAAAGACAGCTAACAATAAACAATAACTTCGCAGATGTCAGATAGAGCTCTAGACTCACCAACAGATAACGATGCACTCCGCTCCAAACTCTAAACAAAGCACAGCAAAAAACGTTATTTAAAAAATGATTTGCTCGTATTTTCAGAAATTAAATAAGCACCCAATTTGAAGAAAATTGAGGATTCGATTAAAGTCTGAACAAAATTTGGGAAGTAAGAGTATTTAACACACACAAGCAAGAAAAAGGTCAAACTACGTATAAGCAAACTATGACATAAAAGTCCGACAGATAAAAAACTGACGGGCATTTACAGTAGATTGCATATCTGATGCAAGGTTGGAAATTGGAGGATTTAACGCACACTTGAGGTTGTTTATTTAGTTCATTTGGTTGAATTGGATCGCAAAATGTTGTTTACTAGAATTTAATTAC